GAAACAAACTCTTACACATTATTGGTGGGATTGTGAAAGGTGCAATCATTCTGGAAGGCAGTTTGGCGCATCCTCAAAAAGCTGAACATAGAAATTCCATATGACCCAGATATTCCAGTACTTTGAATATACACTGAGAAAATGACAAAATGAGGCACAGATTTTTACACCAATGTTCATAGCATCATTAGTCACCATCACGAGAATATGGTAACAGCTCAATTGTCCAACCACAAACAAATGGATTAAGTATGGTACATACAATGAATACTATGCATCACGCAGAAGCAATGATTTTGTAAATTACTACCTAACCTGGGAGGGACTGGAGAGCATTGTGCTGAGTGAACTCAGTCCCACAAGCATACATATTGTATAAAACCATTGTAGTTTGAGTATAAAGATCCAAGAGGGGTGGGAGATGTTGGAAGCAAAGGGATGAGGATGTGAAAGGGGTGAGGGGATTAATCATGGGGTAGTACAATTTGATGGGGTGTGGGTGAGGGAACTTGAAAGAATTTGTTCTTAAAAACAAGATGTTCGAATTTTGTAGATAAAATAATAGAATTTTTTTTTAAATGTGATTTTTCAATATGGACCACCTATTCTGATTCTCTGAGCTCTTGTGGCCTGCCTAGTGGTAAGAAGCTGGATTGTAATCATGAAGGCACCCAGTTCAAGGCCACCAGCTGCTCTGCAGTAGAAGAATGGGTAATCTCTTCCTATGTGATTAATTGCCTCTGAAAACCTGCAGGAGGGTCACCTATGGGTCGGTTCCAAGTCGATATACGTAACAACAATGTGCTTATTCTGTAGTCTCTAAACCTTCAGACACATGAAATATAGTCACAATTAAAAACAAACATACTGATCCACAAAACTAGTCTCATTTTTAGATCATTTTTAGATAGCTTTTGTTTGACTGCATGGACTTTATAACACCTAAAATCTGAACATCTTAAAGAACTTGCTGAAGGCCTTTTGCCTGCTTAATTGGCGTGTGGGTTGGTTACTGTCTCCTAGATTATGCTGATTTTTTATTTCTTCACAAGTACAGGTTAATAGTTTTAGTCTAAATGTATGAAAATTATTCATTAAATAAACAGAGATGTTATGAAACCCTGAAGAGGAAAGAAAGGGAGAAAATGTGACTCAGATCTTATGAAAACCATAAATTTGGAAAAGGTGAAGAGGTCAGTGAGTCCTCTGAAAACCTGAGCCTTCCCAGGAACGTAAAATTATCTTATGTAATGATCCCCACATACATAACTCAAGGCTCCGGCAGATTAGCTTGATGTACTCTTTGTGATGTCTGCCCTGGTGGTAATAACACAGGCAGTATGACTCAATGCACAAAATTCTTTCATCTCTGTGAACCATCCTATAATGCATGGTTACTCTGGAATGGTTTCTGCACTTTCTTCCTTCTCAGTGAAACCAGAACAGGCTATGTAAACAAGGAAAAGGCCCCCTCAGCGCATAACTCTCATAACAGTAATGAACTTCAAAGACACTTGTGGTATTCCATTCACAAGTATTTCTAATTTGGGGCAGATGTACATATGCAAAACTACACAGTCAGCTATAATTGGTATTTACATTGTGAAACTTGTGTGCCCAAGTATTGCTCTCTTGCTTGCCACAGTTGTAATTTGTTTAGAGAAAGTATTTTAGGGTTGAGGGAGCAGGGAGGTGGGTGACAGCCTTTAGGTTGGCAGGCTAAATGTGTGTGTGGCCTTAAAGAAAACCTTCTTTGAATGAGAATTCTGACTGTGGATTTTCATCTGCCAGAAAGAATGCTCACGGGATATTATTGGCATATAAACTCCTTTGCCTGGAAATCAGGAGGGGGAAGAATTTTCAGAGATGCCCTGCAGGATGTCTTTTGTGTCTTAAGATGCATTAATAATAACTGTGTTTCTGTGTAGACAGAACTTCACTTCCCCCACCCACCATCTTGCAAAGTGCAATTTCTTTATTGGTCTAAATCCAACTCTTCTGTATCAACAGTCTGTGAGACTGAGAGGGAGGTGGGAGAGGCAGAACATCTGGAATCAAGCACCTTGTTTCTTATCCCTGACATTTAATTATAATAAACATTTTTCTAACTCTCTTCTAATTTAACAAGTGCTGAGGATTATCTCTCAAATCTATTATTTTTTGTCCACGTCATACTGATACCATCTTAATCCAGGTACCATCTCTCCATGCCTAGAAAATCAGGTTACTGCCTTCTAGCCTTCAATCTTCCATTACTGCATGGTCAAAGGATCTTCCTAAAACTCCAGCTTAATTGAATCACTTTCCTGTTCAAACCTGGTACTTTCATGAGCAAATATTTGAGTGCCTAACCAGTTTCTGTCAAATAGATCATGACCCATAGTGACCCTATGAGCTTCAGAGTGGAACTGTGCCCCAAAGGGTTTTAGTCACTGATTTTCCGGAAGTGAATCCCCAGGACTTTGTTCTGAAGAGGATCTGGGTGAACACAAGCCTTAAACCTTTTAATTAGTAACTGAGAGTCTTAACTGCTCATACCACTCAATGACTGGATTTGAATGTCTGCTGTTTTAAATGCTAATTCTAGGACCTTAACTATGGACTCTTTTTTTTTTTCTAGCTTGTCTGTTCTTACTCTGCCCTGCACATCAATTGAGAGTTGTTTTACCACAAACTTTTGCTCACTTTTTCCCCCATGTAGAAAGTCTTCCTCTCTCTTTGTTATTTCCTAAGAGCCTTCTTCCCCTGGAAGCGCTGATCTAATGCCAGTTCATATGCAGTTCTCCAGGACCCTTCTCTGGCCCACTGCTCTCTCCCTTCTCCACAGTTTGGCTTCATTTTGCCAATTGCTGTCAATTATTATTGAGCTGCCACTATTTGTAAGGTGAAAGAAAGGCAATTTTATTAGAAATGTCCCAGAGAGTGAGACAGGTTATTTCTCTGAAAGCAAAATGGGAAAAAGCAACTATTTAAATACTTTTGAAAGTGACCCTGTTTATTTTACTTGGTGAATTAGCAAAAATTCAAAATTTCAGACAGATAAATTATGTAAAATCATACATCATCTTGAGCAATGCTCAATAAATGATCATTTTGGAGGTTTAT